TGTAAACCTGGACTACTTGCCAATCTGCTGACCTTTATAGTGTCCTCCAACAACATAAACTTCACCATCCTTTCAGACGGGCAAGGACGAAGCCCTGTACTTCTGCTTCAGTTCTTTGGACAAGGGAGAAGATCTATCTTCCTGCAAGTGTTAGGAGGTATATTGAAATGTCTCCTTTGGCTCTTGCTTTTTTTCATAAGTCACAAAGCCATTGAACTTTATTTTGGTTGTTGCTATTTTGGTTATGGCCACAAAGGGAAGAGCTAATATATTTTATTACCTTTATTCAGGCATTGCCTGAAGTTAGTTGTTTAATCACATTGTCTTGAGGAAAAAGAAGCTATAAAGAAACTAACACAATTACTTGATTGACTGATTTTTGAAAACACAGCTAGAATAGGTGGTGTGCATATAGTTTGAAAGATATAGGTTCTGCAGATTTCTAATGGGTCTTGTTGAGCCAACTCCTTAGAGCATGGGTGCCCTCATTTTGACACTACAAGAAAAACATGAATCACTTATAAGATACTTTTTTCCTATAGGCAAAACTGGGACTACCAAAGGAAATTTGGATTAAGAAAAATAAATTTCAGAAGGAAATATATCTAAAAATATTCCACTGGGCTCCTCCACCCCAATTGGCTGGAACACCTGGATTTTTATAAGTATACTTTTAGCTAGAGAAACACTGAAAAGATACATTTTACTAAAAGAGAAAAGAATGATTTTCTGGAAAATTGTGGTTGGCAGTCTTCTTCAGATGTGGAAGAGCAATTTTGCAAAAATATGTATTTGTTTTAAAGAATAAGTTGTAAATTCAAGTACTGCCATGCTGGTGACTAAAATTCACAATTGCTTAAGTGACAAAATTTATACCCAAATTTCCTTCTTTGTAGGATAATTAACAGATAATAGAGGCACAAAGATATGAACTACAGTGCTTACTCTTGTAATAATTAAATGAAATGATTGTTTTAATGTGTGCACTAAACAAGTATATTAAAACCATATTATGGATTCATAGCTATGTAGGATGTGCTTTATTAGGCTTTAAAAAATAGGTAAGCCATCTTAAATGGAAACAGGGATATGTTCAATATATAGCCAAAACAACTGCCAACCAAAATGGCACTGAATTTAAGGAAGTGGATTATAGTTTTGTGGTGTTCATTTCTGGTGTATTGAATGGGAATTCAGAGGAAGACTATTAAAAATTCTAAGAAGAGTTAGCATGATTTAAGAGGCAGACAAGCCTCTTGCTAGACCATGGCAATAATATAAAGACATAATTTAGTATCGTTGGAGGATAAGATAAACAAAGTAAGATTATTTGAGACCTCACAGTCTTATTCTATATCTCTCAGTGTGCGCACACACACACTCACACTCAACATGTGAGCATTAACATTTTGTAGAAGAGAAGTTGAGCTGAACACACAAACTCATTTTTTGTGATAATGTCTGTTAGACATGAATGTCACAACAGTTGGCCAGACAAATGGTAAAATCATCACAGACTGTTGAGTGATTCAAAAGTAGATCACAGAAAGAACTTTACAACATACTGTAGGAAACAATGTAATGTTGGTGAAGCAAAAAAAATATAAATAAATAAATAAAAACCTGACATCAGTCTTTTCCACTGCTAACTTTTAATATTTTCATGTAGTTCAAAGTTAGAAATTTACAGCATTTATAAAATTATTAAAGGTTAGGATCTAAATGCTAAACCTATTGTTTAACATCAATATATTTACTATACATGGCTTTTGCTAGTTTGGGCCTGAAATACTCCATAAAGACCCATGTGCTGAAGGGTTGGTCCTCAGCTTGGTACTTTTGGAAAGTGGTGAAACCTTTAGGAGAGGGACCCTAGTGGTGGGAATTTAGGTCATTGGGGTTGTGCCATTGAAGGGGATATTAGGACTCAGTTACTTCTTCTTTCTCTCTTTTGCTTCCTGGCCCTGAGGAGAGTGGTTTTGCTTTACTACATTCTCTTGCTATAATATGCCACCACAGGCTAAAAGCAGTAGGTTCAACAGACAGTGGACTAAAATCTCTAAAACTATGAACCAAAATAAACCTTTTATTTTTATAAATTGATTATTCCTGGTATTTGTCATAGTGATGAAAACAATACAAATTAGCTATGTTGTAGAAACAATACATTGTATATTGTAGAAACAATACAAATTAGCTATGTGTCCTACTTCTTTCTCCACCACCATTAACTCAACAATAAAGGAGATTAGGGTTCAGAGCTGTTGTAAAAAATTTGGCAGATTTTGTCCTTAAGAGTTAAATTCTAAACCCATACATTTAATGTAATAGATCTTGTTGTTTTGATCAAAAATTTAAAAGATTTTTCTTCATTTACAGATGTCAAATATAATTGAACATAAACATATGGTGATGGAAAAATTCTATAAAGATTCTTTGGTAATGATTATTAATGTTTATTTAAAAAGGCAGAATTGGGTAAGAAGTTGCTTTTAGAAAAGTTATTTTTTTTATGTTCTCCCTGACCTTAAAGAGTTGTCAATCAGATGCAGTCTCTTTTATAATTTGATTTCTCTTTTATTGAAAAGCCATGGTACTACGTGTAATGAATGAATCATTTGAAGATAAGAGGCTAAATAAATTTTCCTAATAGTTTTAAATTTATGCTTTTGTTTTTCAGTCCATATGCTCTTCTAACCTACAGTGATTTGCTTGGGAAACCCTGGCTCACCCTGTGTAGGCTCATGTCAAACAAATGCACTTTAATCAATGGTGGTGACTTATTGTTCCCTGGAGTGGTTATTTAATTTTGCAAACTTCAAAAACTGGGCAAATGACCTTTCTCTGTTTTCTAGATGTAAATGAATTTTTTTTATCAAGTGCCATCCTTTGAGAACAGTAACTGTGACCTTTTGGTTAGGTTTATGGCCCTATAGATGAGCTGCTTGGAAACAATCTCTTATTACTTCTAAACAAGCAGTGTACCCTCTAAGCTTTCCAAATGCTCATTTGCTCATTGACCACCTCTGCCATATATGATAAGCTTTACTTAAGCTTTGTAGAAAATTGGTCTATAATAGCTTCTCTTCCAGTCCCTGCTCTTCAAAGCATGAAATTTGATACAAAATTTATTTACATTCAGAAAACAGAGAGGAAGGTCATTTGCCCAATTTTTGCAGATTGCTGTCGTAGCAAAGGAAAAGTAAATGACCACTTCATTTTCTTTGCAAGTATGAAGGTGAGGAGGTGCTGGCCATAGAGAACTTTGGCCTTGTTGTCCTGTCCACTGATGAACTGTAGTAGATGTTCAATCCTTGTTTATTGAGTTTTAATGTAAGATCATTCCAAAGTAGGCTAAATTTTGGCACTCTATTTCTGTGTCACTTTCTAAGTAGCTGGCCTCCCACAGGAACCAGCCCCATGGGAGCTGCAAAAACACAGAAAGAGGAGAGAAGCATGGGAATTAACTATCCAAAGAATAAAAGTGTCAGTGTCTGTGTCTACACATCTTTTGAATTATGAGCACAGATAGAATCTTTGGTCTCAAACATTCAACAGAATGTGCTAGGGGAAAATTGTGGCATTTTGGAAATAAACAGATCTGTGCCTATAGCTTAACTCTGTTACTTACTAATATTGTACCCTGGGCAGGTTACTTAACCTCTCTGAGGTTCAGTTCTTCTTATAAGATGGATGTATTGCACTTTATTTTGGAATCTTGTTATCTATGAGTGCTTCAACAATAGTAGAGTTTCAATTTTTTTTTTCTCCAGGTTTGCTTTAGTCAGACTTCCAATACTGTAACAAATACCTGAAGCTTATAAGAAAAAACGTTTATTTGGACTCACAGGTTTGGAAGTTTTAGTCCATGGCCAGTTGGTCTTTTGCTTTTGGGGTTATGGTAAAGCAGTAAATCATGGATATTGCATGGCGAGGAAGGGTCTGGAGTCCCAATATCCCCTTTAAGGGTCCACCCTTATTGACTTAAGACCTCCACTAGGCCCATCTCCTAAAGGTTCTACCTCCTCCCAATAGTGCCATGCTGGGGACTAAGTCATTGACACATGAGTCTTTGAGGCCACTCAGAGTCCAAACTACAGCAGGTGTCTCCTAGATGCTTGCATCAGGGCTGGAAGGTATACAACATTTTCATTAGTCTTCCTACCAACTATGCAATGCAGATTGTACCATTTCCTTTATATAACGATTAAATGGAGAGATAGTGTATAGAGGAATCTGTACAAGATTGTGGAGCTAAGTGTGAGAGCAGAGAATTGATTTTAAATTTACTTAATTTGTAGATTTAGGCTTTATTTTACCCTGATTCATAAAGATTTATTTTTCTTTTCATTCCCCAAATGGAATTACACAGTTTTCTAATTAATCTGTTTATCCTCTTCTGAAAGGTGGCAGTCCTGTTACCCATAACGAACTCCAAGTATCTCAATAGTTTTCATTATTGCTCACTTATTCAGAATCTACCACCACATAGGTAATGGTTTTAGTTTTCATTATTGGAACTAAGATCTTTCCAATAGGTTTCTTCTAAATTATTTCAGATTAGCTACTTTAATACTGAAGTCCAATGCAATTTAGGTCAGTGAGATTTTGAATAATCCTACCTGAGGAAGAAAGCAAGATGTTACCTCCTGGATAAGTAAAAAGTACAATAGTGTCTTGTCTTTTCTGAATAGTCAAAATCCTGCTGGCCATAAGTCTACATGTGATGTCAGTGGGAACTTTGAATACTCAGGGTGGAGATTCCTAACTTGGATGATCTGACTCTGGAGCTATTAGCAGAAGCTGGAAATGCTTACAGCCATGGATGAGTCAGAAGGCTGTGAACCCTGGACTTTTTCTGACAGTTGTCTTTAATTGAAGGATTCTGGCAAGTCAGCTATTCAGACAGCACCAGCTCTATGGAAATCTTCTGACTTTCCCAAGTTTTATTTTATTTCTTACTCAGCTTCTTGGATTTTGTTTCTGTTTTCCATTTTCAGATTTATAATCGCTTAGATACAAATTGTTGTGGATTCAGACCACGCAAGGAAGATGCCTGTGTACAGAATGGATTGAGGCCAAATTGTGATGACCAAAATTCTGCGACTCTAGCACACATTATCCAGCGAAAGCATGACCCGAGGCATTTGGTCTTTATAGACAATAAGGGTTTCTTCGACAGAAGTGAAGATAACTTAAACTTCAAATTGTTAGAAGGCATCAAAGAGTAAGTTTGTTGTGGGAATAACATCCTCTGGATGTGGCATTTATGTTAAGTAAGTGGTAAGGTTAGGAGAAAACTCACACCATATGTCTGATAGCTTTAACCCTTGAAAGGAACTGTGAATGTGAATCTGGGAGTGGTGAACTGGAGAAAGGACGGATGTCTAGAGTGCATTGGGGCATCAATTAACAACCTGCACGGGTGTGTTGCTTGGTCCTCATTATGAAAATCCACATGGGTTAAGTTGGAAGACCGCAGGATGCCTGGAATAAGAAATGGCCAAAGAGGAATAAGCAGGTGGCAGAGGCTGTGTTATTAGGGCATGTAATAGGACATGGTGGGAACTAACAGATATGCAGATATTGCGATGGCAGGATGTCCAGATTCATAATAAACTCAAGTGACTTTTATGAAGGCTGTGTAAAATTAAAGCCAATCTGGTGTGTAAGGTACAACATCCAAGGGACAGCTGGATATTTAAGTTTAGGTAGGAAGCTTTTTTGGGGGTGGGGGGAGTTGGTACCAGGGATTAAACCCAGGGGTGCTTAACCACTGAGCAACCTCCCCAGTCCTTTTTATTTTTGATTTTGAGACAGGGTCTTGCTAAGTTGCTCAGGGCCTTGCTAAATTGCTAATGCTGGCTTTGATCAGGTAGGACGGTTTTGGGGACACTTGAAAATCATTTAAATAGACAAAGAGTTTGGAGGAAAGTGTTTGAAATCTAAAAGGGAGGGCTGATGAGAACCGGATAAGAGAACAAGTATAGCTACACTCAGGAATGACCAAGAATTTAGGGGAGACCTCAAAAATCTGGTGACATTTGGCGGGACTTAGAAAGAATGCAGGGTAGAGTGGGGACATATGTGGAACTAGAGAAAATGAATTCTGCTTTGCAGAAGTTAAAGTTAAAATACAATAGGAAGGTAGGTATAAGCAAAGCATATAATACACACGTGTGAAAATGTCACAATAAAACCCATTATTTTCTACATTATGCACTATTCATAGTAAGTAACAACATGATGGGCGCTTATGGAATACTTGATCTTACATTTATTTAAAACAAGGAATGTACATACTTAATAGTGGCAGGAACTAGCTATAAAGTTTGAGCTATTCAACCCTAGCATGGAAACTGACTATATTTCAAGGTGATGAAAGATTTCAAAGAGAACCATCTTCTCTTTGCTTCCTACCTTGGTCTAAAATCAGATTGACTAGGACACTGAGGTAAGTTGGAGACTTACAAATACAATGATACTTTAGTACAATAGTAATTCTGTGAAGTTAAGTGACTGCTGGAAAGCATACCAGCAAGTCTGAAATTGTCAAAGTGGTACATGACTCCATCCCAGGTATTCGAGATGCGGAGGCAGGAGGATATTAAGTTTGAGGCTAGCCTGGATCACAGTGAGATATCACCTAAAAAAAAAAAAAAAAAAAGAATATAGTTGAAGTTAAAACTCAGTTCTTCCAAATCCAAGCCCAATATTTTTTTCTTGTAATAATATGTGGTGTTCATGCTTGGTTACTATTACTTTTCTCAATAAAGGTTAAATGGAGCTCACTGATAGAGAGCTTGCCTACCATACATGAGACCCTGGGTTCAATCACCAGCACTGCAGAAAACAAAAGCCGAAATAAAACAAAACAAAAACACCTAAAATTTCTTGTTTGTAATACTCTGAAGCATATTTTGATTATTCTTCTGAACTCTAATACTTAGGTAATGTGGATTTTATATACTTTAAAGATTAAAAGATTTTATATACTTCAAAGATTAAAAAGTGAGTTTTGTGAGACCAATTTCATGACGTTTTGTCATGTTACCTATCCTATTGACTATTGATACTTGTTCTTCAAGTTATTTTATTTTATTTTATTTTTTTTTGCACCAGGATATGAACCCAGGGGCACTTAACCACGGAACCACATTCCCAGCCTTTTTAAAATTTTATGTTTGGAAACAGGATCTTGCTAATTTGGCTAGGACCTTGCTAAGTTGCTGAGGTTGGCTTTGAACTTGTGATCCTCCTGCCTCAGCATCCTGAGCTTCTGGGATCACAGGCATGGGACACCTTGCCCAGCTTCATGTTCTGTTTTTGTATTGAAGGTAGAATATATGACAGATTCTATTTTTTGAGTGTCTAAACTAAGGAAATTTTATGTGTAGGAAAATTTACATTCCTAAGACATCCCTTACTTAATTGATATTAAAGGACCTGAAATTTCTTCTCAGAATTAAAAGTTCCAGCAGAATATACTCCATCCACTTTAAACATTCATGTAGATATAATAGTCTTATTTGTTTTTTCAGAGAAAATTCAACTTCAAGTATATTGTGAGGAACATTGGGTTTAAAGCTAAATCTTTGAAATATAATTCACACATTGAGAAGTTAAATGAAGACTTCACTAATTCCAGATTTATGCATTGAATATTCCTGTTAATCAGTGTATTACAAAGACCAGTGATATTTTTGTTTTCCTTTATGAAGAGGATTAGTCACTAAAGAGACTTATGGTTTTAACAGTTTCATCTCATATATTCTGCCACAACTAAATTAGTTGAAGGGCTATAGAATTTATAAATGGATTATTAATACTTCATAGAGTAAAAGGGCTATTCAATTAATATTGTAGCCCACTAGATCATATAATAAATGTCTCAGGAAACTCAGAGCATCTTGTAAGCATTATGTCATTCATTCCACATGTCTCAGAATTATTAAACATGCTTAGCTCTGGGGCCTTTGATTTTCAGGTAGGGTCAGAATGGCTAGAGCCCCTAGATCCCTTGAATCCATACTTCCCATGTGCCATTCCTCCTGTGACTCATCAAAAAGAGGTGGCCGGGCATGGTAGTGTATGCCTGAAATCCCAGCGCCTGAGGCAGAAGTATCGCCAATTCAAAGTCAGCCCCAGCAACTTAGTAAGAAAAGGAAAGGGCTGAGGATGTGGCTCAGTGGTTAGGTGCCCTGAGTTCAATCTCTGGTATTAAAATGGAAGAGGTGCTTAGAAGGTCTGAAATTTCTGGCAGTGTGTACCCTTTAAGCGAGTAAGTATTCTTGCTATAGTTTTAAAGGTACAACTGAATTTATTTTAAAATTAGTATTAACCCTAATATTTTATAATACTTGTGTCAAGATTTTAGTGAAAGCTGGGAAAGACCAAATGGTATTTTGTACCCTCTTAAGGTAATGCAACAAAGACCCTTCCAAGCTGGCCTTAGGTTTACCCAGAGAGATGTCTTATGCAGTGACTTGGCTCTAAAACTTGTGTCACTAAATTTATTTGAAAAACATTTGTGCAAGTCAGCTTTCCATGACGGTAGCAAATACCAGAGATAATCAATTTATTAAAATGAAAATTTTCTTTTGGTGTATAGTTTTGTAGCTTTCAATCGATAACCAACTGGTTCTGTTGTTTTGGGTCTGTGGTAGCCCAGTATATCATGGTGGGAGTGCATGGATGCGTAGTCCCATCTACCTCATGGCTAAGAATCTTAAGAGAGAGGAAAAGGAAGCGGGCAGGACCCCACTATCTCCTTCAAGGTAGCAATCTAAAACCTCCCACTAGGCCCACCTTTTAAAGGTTTTACTGTCTCCCAATAGTACTACCCTGAGGACCAAGCTCTTAACATATGGGTCTCTTAGGGGACATTCTAGATCAAAACTGTGTCCAACGTTAACAATCCACTAAATATAATGCTCCCAGAAATCCCAAATGTATGTAGTAAAATGAGAAATTTTCCTCTCTCAGTTGTATAACTTCTACTCTTTGAGAACACTTTACTGAAACTGTCAGCACTTTGTTCTCACATTTTCATAAATAAAATCCCACCTTGTCACTGGTGAGGATGTTGATGAAATGGAGCTCAAGACTGAAGAAAGTATTTTTGCTTGTCTCAAGGAAACCTAATTCTGTGCCACTCTTTGCCTACATACAAATGACCTTAAATAAGACATTAGTATGTCAGGTTCTCAATGGATTAGGAAATTCGTTCATTCGAAACACATGCTTCTACTATATTATTATTAAGAGAAGTGTCATCTTGGCAGTGACAAAAATGTTTTGGTTCTCAAGGTATCATTTAATTACGTGATCTATGCGGGATGAATGAATGGCAGGGCAGTTGGGAAAGGACTCATATTTCTAAGCAATTACTAAGGATGAAATATCACGTTGTCTTTTCAGGTTTCCAGAATCTGCAGTTTCTGTTCTGAAGAGCCAGCATTTACGGCAGAAACTCCTTCAGTCTCTGTTTCTTGATAAGGTTTACTGGGAAAGTCAAGGTGGTAGACAAGGAATCGAAAAGCTTATTGATGTAATAGAACAGAGAGCCAAAATTCTTATCACTTACATCAATGCACATGGGGTCAAAGTGCTACCTATGAATGAATGACAAAAGGGTCTTCTGTGTACACTGCTGGATATGCTTATGCATTTTTGTTTGTTTTGAAATCAAGTACATCAACCTCAAGTCCTCCTAGGAATGAGACAGTATATCTGAATATAAAAACATAAAATTAATTTAACCTGAGCACTATATGCAGACGTTAAAATGGTTTAAAAATGCATACAGCTCAAAAGTATTCATTTATATTTTTGCCTAACATGGCATGTGTATCTCAACATCTGGCTATGGGAGAGTTCTAATTATTATTCCAACTAATTTGGAAAAGCATTTGTCATGTCACTTAACAGAGCAGTATAAACCAGAAATACTGACTCCTTTTATAAAATATATTTTATGCCGTTTGACTTATCTGACCAACTACGAATGGGAATGGTTCTTGAGGTTATTCTGTCTCTGATAGATGACAATCCTGGCACTGCCCAGAGGCAATTCTACATTGGGAAACTGAAGCACATGATCTGTGAAAGCAGAGGAGGCTCTAAATGTATTCTAAATAGAATTGATGGATGAATTCCAAAACTACCAGTATATTTTCTATAGTATCTAAATAATCAGCCATCATTGAGAAGTAAGAATAACATTCAGTTGTTTTTTTTTTAAAAACTTACTTTGTTGTCAGTATGGAAACATCCATATCTGACAGTGTTATATGTTGGTTAGCTTTGCTTTCTCAGTTTTGACCCAATTTATGTTTAGTGTTTTAGAAATTAAACAATTCTAAAGTCTGATGTTACCTATTTGAAAATACACTTAGTATTTTTTCAATGAATACTTTAAAAAACTTTGTCATTTTACCAAGAATATAATTACTGTATGTTTTATTAATAATAATGGTTTTGTTCTATGTAATTATATTTAATCAGATTTAATTGATTTTGCCCAGATAGTGACAATAGGTCTAAAAACAGAGTGAGTTTAAATTTATTGTCTATTTTATTTCAATATGAGAAGTACAAGCAAAATAAATTAAAACTTTACTCTGATCAGTTCTTCTCAATGAGAACACATAACCACAACTAAAACAATGAACTTGGACAATGTTAACCCACAAATAATTACCCCAAACTTCCTCTGTGAACTCTGTAATGAGTTTGGAAGGACTTTGACATAATTGTATCCATCTGTTGGGTCTTCATGTTCCTGGAAGTTACCCAAGATCATCTTGTATCATAGGTACTCATAAAGAGGCTTCAAATCTAGAACAAATCATTATTTCCCTCCCACTCTCCCCATCCTTCTCCTTACATAAAAATTGATTTACTGACTCGGATATAGTTCAGTGGTACAGCCCTTGCCTTGGGTTCTATCCCACAATGTCAAAAACAAACAAACAAACAAACAAAATCAGAAAACAAAGCCAAAAAAAGCAAATAAAACTAATACTAAAAGTTGGTTTATGGGGTATTTCTTTCCCCAAATATTTCAATATACAAATTATGAATGTTTACAATAAATTGTCTCTTTTCTCAGTTCTGTTATTCTAACATACAGGATGTTTTCTGTGTTCTCATCAAGGATAACTCAATATCATTATGAATTAAAACCATTAAAGATATTAGATTATAGGCTGGATTTTAAAAGAAGAACATATGTATAGATTTTAATTTATAAAAAGTCTATAGAGTAAATTATCAAAATAGGATGTTAAGCACAAAGAGAAGATGGACCAAGGGAGAGGGATCATTTGATTATCAATTTATAACTTGTTTAGGCTCATCTTCAAGTAGTACACTTAGCATCCTTATTTGCTGTATCTGTCCTCTGAAAGTTGATCTTGGATAATTCTTCTCTGATTTTCCCCATACAGCAGAGGGAGTACCTCTCTCTGTTCCCACAAATTCATAGTACTTGTTGGTCCATTGAGTTCTTACTCTGTCTGTTCTGACCCTGCTGTCTATAAATCTTCTCTCATAAATCATTCTCTTAATAGAAGAATTAGCCTAACACAAGTTTGGAGACATTGATGTGAAATAACTTTTTTTTTTCAAGTTGTCTTAGACCTAGTCTTATCAAAGTGAAATATCTGCAAATAGAGTTTTTAAAAATATAATTTACCATCTTAACCTAAATTTGTGATATTGATGGTATGAATTCCAAGCTCCTTAGAAGCTATTGGTCTCAAGCTACACTGCTGCTTTCCTCCCATATGTGAACCTGACTATATTTGCCTTTAGTTATTCTAAAATATCTAATACAAAATGAAAGGTCCAAGAACACATCTATTTTAGCAACATTAGAATTTTAACAGTGTATTGTGCTTTATAATCAGTGAATAATTCATGATGTATTATTTTTGAATAATGGATAGCTAAAGGCTAAGCTGTTAATTCTAATAGGTAACTTTCTTCTTTAATTGAAACAATGAGAACACTTTGTGCATTTCAGATGCATTCAGATTATGCTGTAATTTGGTTCTCATAAGCAATTATGTGGTTTATTTATAACACTATAACAAATTTAAAATAGAATAATTTACCATGGAAGACATGCAAAAACTTACTCTGCATGACATTTCTTTAAACTGATAAGAAAGTAAATATGTAGCTTAAAAATCTGTAATAAAACATTAGATAGTAAATATGTGTGCTATTTTTGGTAAGTGGGTTCATTTTCTTTTCTGTAGATGGATTAATTTTCAAATGCTGAATATAGAAGAATCTTTGTTACCTTTACCCATGAATAAAGAAATGATTGAACAATCAAGATCTGTACTGAATAATATTTGTGTGTGGATATATTTGATATCATCATTAATGATCATTATACTTTCTCTTGGTGTGTGTGTGTGTGTGTGTGTGTGTGTGTGTGTGTATGTATACTGAGGCATAATATGGCAAAGTGACTTTCCCCAATTTATACAGATGTTGACCTAGAATCTACAGTGCTGGAAATGACATAGAAAGTTAGAACACCAAAACTTTCTCAGAGATTTCATTATCTACCAAGACAAAATAAAAAAAATCTAACTTCAAGCATAAGGGTATTACAAATACACACTCATAAATAGTGATAAATTTAGGCTATATTTTTGGGAACCTGCTGAGAATGAAATAAATAAGGAAGCTACCCATTCTTTGAAACTTGTGAAAATCATATTGTCCAGTTGACTGAACATCTCCCACGTGTTATGCTCTGTGCTAGACAGTACAGATGTTCAAATGAACCAGGAAAGTTTTAATACAGTAGCCATCAGATAAGAACTGTAATTAGGTTTTAAGTTACACTCTTAGTGGCAAAAGTATAGGAAAGCAATTCTTTTGAGGAATGTCCAGGAATAGAAATCGCTTAAGTCAGGTTTTAGTCACTGTTGGCAGACTGCATAGCTCTGGGTCCAAGGTAAGGAAGAATATCATGGTGGAAAGGCATGGTAGAGGAAAGCAATTCAGAATATGACAACCAAAATGCAGAGAGAGAGAGAGAGAGGTGGAAGCCTCCACGACCTCAACTTTATAACTTTGCATTCCTATAGAACCAAGACTTCTTGGTTGATATTAAGATCTGTCATCATATTGAGCTATATCCAAGTCTCCTGGGACTATGACTCAGCAGCCTCTAAGTACCTGGGCAACCAAGCACAGTGAAATAACTTCCTGGGTCCCTGTGTAGGGTGTTCAAATTCTTAAAGGAATTTTACTTTTATACTCTTGAGCCTGAGATGGATAAGGTCTTGCCAATTCCTCAGGTGCTTTCAAGCCATTTTTCCTATTGTTTCTTGGTAAAGTACTTATCATTTTTATTGACTGTAATTTCTTCAACAACCACAGCTATTTAGCTCCAGTTTTACTTACATTTTTTTTTCTGATCAAACTTCAAGTTTTTCAGATCCTTCTACTCTGCTTTTTTGCTCCTGATTATCACAGTAAACTTGACTAGGAGCTGCCAGCAATATACATGTCATGGTCTGAATGCTGTACTGCCCTGAAATTTCTTCTGCCAGGTCAATTAGTTCATCACCTTTAAATTCAGTCACACAGAAAGTCTCAGGACATGGGAAAAAATGTAGACAAATTCTTTACCAGAATGAAACTTAAATGGCCTTTAGTCCAATTTCCAACAGATTCCTCTTTCTCATCTGAAACTTCATGAGCCCAGTCTTTACTATCCACAGTCCTACCGGCATTGACATTCAGGTTTTTGAACCCCCACTTGAATCACACATTAAACTTTTCTTATAACAATCTAAAGCTTTTACAGTTTACATCTCTAAACTTGTCACAATTCGTATCTCCACAAATCAGGTCCCAAGGTTTTTGAACCACATGGTCAGGTTAGTCATAGCAATGGTCCCACTCCTGGTACCAATTTCTGTTTTAGTCTGTTTCTCATTACTGAGACCAAGAGATATGACAAGAACAATTTAAAGGTGGATAAGTTTATTTTGTCTTGTGGTTTCAGAGGTTCAGTGCATGGTCAGTTGACTCCACAGTTCTGGGCCTAAGGTGAGGAAGTACATCAAGGTGGAAGGGTGTGGAGGAGTAAAGCAACTCAGAACTTAGTAATGAGGAAGCAGATTGAGAGAAAGAAAGAGAGAGCTCTGTTCACCAAGGATAAAATATTAACCCCACTGTGATCTACTTCTTCCAGTCAAATTCTACCCAGTTAATTCATATCAGTGGATTAATCCATCAATTAAGTTGTACCTTTCATAATCTGATCATTTCACCTCAAAATTCTTGCATTGTCTCACATTTGAGATTTGTGGGGACACCTCATATCTAAACCACAACAGAAATTATAAGACTAGAGGGTTTTTTTTTGTTTGTACTTAGATGAGGAGTTTCACTGTATCTGTAGTCTATTTTTTACTACTATTATTCAAAGTGATAATTCCAAGTCATTTTGTGGCTGAACAAATTGACCTAACCACTTTAATATCTTGTGTGCATCTCTGTGTTCCAGTATGATAGGAATGGGAGACAAAAGTAGATATTTGTAATGAATACCATGATTAGTCAAAAATACGTTAACTTAAGTTCTCTGTTGTACCAGTGGCACTAAACTTTTTATGAGCTCTGATTCACTTTGAGAAGCTGATTAAAAGTATAGCCTGTCTATATAATTCTCCAAATAATTTCAAGGATTCCTCAGATTTGTGGATATCCATTTATGGAAATCTTTCTTCCAGGATCTTTGGTTTCCCAGGTTAAGCATGCTTGCTTTCCAGTGTAGTTAAGAGGATGGGAAATTTTATTATGCACTCTAGAAAATTTTTTGCTTAATATATTTTGTTTTTATACCAAGCTGGAAACTGAAGTTTGGGCAAATAATATTTAATTAAAATACTTTATTCACCAGTAGAATTTGAAGGATCATTCACTTTATTGATACTTAAACATTGGCAGCTCATGCTATTAGTGCCCAAACTACTTCCATTTATTCAATATGGAATCCTTTCAAATTTATTTTTGATTAATGCTTTAAGTTATTAAAAAAATTATCAGCTGACTTATTTCCTCTGATTTATATATTGGTTTAGAGTGTGGGAGAAGTTAATGTATAGTATTAAAAGAAGTTACTTCATTTACTGCTTGGAGTTTACTATTACCATAAAGTTCCCACTTTTTATAAAACAATTTCCTAAATAAATACATGAACTTTTGCCAATGGTTTACTACCTTGAAATTTATGCAAAGAAGTATATGTAACCCTTTCTTACTGTGGCCTTTTAAAAAAAAAAAAACCTTCACTCTTAAAGGAGTTGAGTGTCTATACTCATTTCACCTTTTGCCCCCTTTCCCATTTACACACAGCTGTCTTATGTCAAAATATGGCATCTTCCCTACTTTTTAAGCTCTTTAGTCTCCTGGGATAGGGCCCTGCTGTAAGAAAAGTCTGATTCAGAGTTGTTGGCAGACTTTTGTTTCAGAATCTAAAAATGCACATGGTCATTGAATGAAGTCACATAAATTCTTTCTTGCAACACCATTGCATGTGGTTACATTAGTGTAATTCTTTTTTTCTTTATGGAAGGACACCTTTTTACCCTAATGATTTAAACACGTATTTAGTTTGTGGATAAAAATATGCACAATTATGGGCACATTAAGAAATCCCTATGTATCTTGTTTCTAAAAAAGTAATCTGTATTTCTTAACAGCACTTGTCAAGATTTTCTAAAGCTTTTGTGACAGAGTTAAAAAATAAAGAAAACCTCCCTTGTCAGTGGCTGTAATCACATACTGCAGAATAGCTAGCTGTGCTATATTTCAAAAGGCAAAATGGGCTTCAGAGACTGGGACCAGTCACTAAATGAGACTGAAACAGCTGTGATTTTGTTGAATGTGCCAACAGTTTCTTTAGCTCCAGGACACCAGACATTACTTCCTTTATAAAGTACCCTATGTTATTGGCTCAACTTCTGTTTTG